TTGTGAGCCACCATGTAGGCACTGAGATACAAACTTAAGCCCTCTGTAAGAGCATCAGGTGCTCTTAGTGCTGAGCCATCTGTCCAGCACCCTTTGTATTTTCTGATTCCCTTCGATCCTTCACACATACATTGTGGGTGTCTCTGTGGTCCTTTCTGTCTATGTTTAGAACATCCCAGGCCCTCTTTACCCATAGCCTCTAATGTCACCCAAGTTCTGTGCCATCCCCTCCCTATCCTAGATCCTAGGCTTCCTAGGCCTGGAATTCACTCTGTCTACCAGAGAATTGACTGCCTGCTCTGGGAGCCAAGGACTTGCGGAGATGAACTCGAGCAGACAGAGCAAGGTCTGTGCACTGCAGCCTTAGTTCACCCACCCTTGTGATTGATTGCAGAGTGCTTTTACACAGCCTCACGGTGTTCTCTGATGTTCCAGAGGCGGGGCGGAGCCCGGCTGCTTCCCTGGAAGACCCACTGAGCGAGTCAGTGAGGCCTAGTCCACCTTGGCACCTCTCCTTCCGGGGTGAGGGAAGGCCTTCCACAAAAGCTGACCACAGGGTCCTTTAAGGCCGCAAAGACTGTCTGCCTGCCGCTCCTGCCTGGCAGTAATGTACCCTCCCACTGGGACCATGGCCACCAGTAAACAGAGCCTTCCTTGTGCAGCCTCCAACAGCTGCAGGCTGGGGAGGGAGGGCGGGCACCCAATGCTCCCACAGCCCATTCTGCCTCACTTCCCTGCTCTTCTGGCTGGCTCTGTGCACATGCCCTCAGGCTATAGGCTCCAGGCCTTCTTGGGTCTTCTTTCTCACTACTAGCACAGGGGTATTCTTGGTTCCTGGTGAAGATCTACAGTGTCTTCCCTTACTGGCTGTGGGCAGCCACTGTCCTTGGTGGGCTTATGCTCAAGAGCCACGGTTATGCTATGTTATTCATACCTATTGCCCAGCTTGAGACCCAAACATCTCAAAGAGAAGCTCTTGGTGTTAAAGCTTAGAAGTTCTGCTTCCTTCATGGATATGAATGTGTTGGCGTTGAGATTCAAGCTACTCTGTGAGGATGAGTCAACTTAGAAGATAATCTGGGCATTGAGATAACTCTCAGCATGCCCAAAAGTGACCTGGTGTACCTCACACACATCTAGCCCTCCTGATATATGGGTCCTCTAAGTGTGGTCAACAGAACCCATGTTCTGCTTTCTGAACTACCCTTTTAGGGAAGGGGGCAGGAAAGTCAGATCTTGCTGGAGACTAGCACACTGGTTAGGATGGTAAACATGAACAATAAGACTCCATCCAACAGAATGCTGCTGCTTAGGATATAGGATTCTGCTTGTCCTGATGGCTTTTCCCTATGACATTGGATACCACAACCAATAGGGATTGCCTAACACACTTAGATTTGAAGGTAATTCATACCAAAAGCCAGACCCACAGATGCCTGGTGGCTGGACTAGAACAGACCCCATAGTGTAATATTCCTTAAAAAAAAGAAAAGAATTACAAAGCCAGGCATGGGAAGGCCTGTAAATCCTTGCATTCCTTGAGCTGAATTCCAGGTTACAGGTTAGAAGACCCTGCACAGAGAAACAACCGAACTAAAAAGATTTGTTTTTTTTAGTTCCATGGGCAGAAAGATTTATTAGGGATTAAACTGTCAAGGCCATTGAGGGTGAGGGGGGAAAAAGAGCAAATGGCGGAAAAGAATTGATTCAGAACTCCATGCTTTGACAGAATTGACTTTAGGGGGAAGGTTAAGGGAGGGAGTTCCTGGTGAACCGAAAACACCTTAAGAGACTTACTTTTCTTGTAAACAGGAACTTTTTAGGCTTGTTTACCTGGCCAAGTCATGTTTAGGACAAAGTCAGCACTGCCATTTGAGGGTAGGGGGGGCTTTGAACCTGACACCTCAGAAAAAAAACTTGTAGAAATATATAAATGGATTGTTCCCTAAGCGATCCACTACAGGGTAGCGACAATTTAAATTTCATACGTTAGTTTGTTTGTTTTTCCCTCTCATAGAGTCATGGCCAGGCATGCCCAGCCCTGCAGTCTCCATGAGCTCTGCGCGCACTTAGAGCGAAGGCTCCAAGGAGACCGGCTCCCGGCCAGCTGGTTTCCACAACACGGGGCGCAGCCGAAGAGGCGGAGGGAGGGCCCTCCCGGGAACAAACAGACCCCGCGCCTGCCCAGTGCGTCCCGGGAGGACCCAGCTGGGCCGGATTTCATGGGTGCAATCAGCTCAGCCTGGAAGTCCCCAAGCTGGACCGAAATGTGTCCCGGAGTGCAATGTCTCAGGCTCTTTTCTCTCCCCACCAGCAGCACACAGACCCTCGTACCAAAGCGAGCCCACAAAACTCTGAAAAGAGACCCCCTCCCTCTCGGCCGGAAGCTTGCTTTCCACGTCCCGCCCGCGCGCTGCACTGCGGCGGTTACCAGGACGCCAAACCAGCGCAGCCAATAGTGTCAGGCTTTCGGCGTGCTCCCAGGAGGCAGCCAATGAGGGTGTAAATCAATCATTTGAAACACCCAATGAATTGAGCACTGCGGCGCCAGGGCGGGGATTGTGATAGGGAGAACCTTAGACAGTACTGGCCAATAATGAGCGTCTATCGTTGGGAAGGCGGGCCCTAGACCGCTTGATTGACGGGAAAGCCGCCAATCAAACAAGAGTGTTTCTTGGCCTCGTTCTGGGAGCCCAATCGTAGGCTTGCGAAGGCGGGCTATGAGGGGTATATAAGTGCTGGTAGAGCGTCGGTTGTAGCACTCTGTGCGCCTGCTCCTCCCAGCTCGTTCCTCCTCTGCAGCCGCTCCGCAGTCGCCGCCGCCATGAGGGAGATCGTGCACCTGCAGGCTGGGCAGTGCGGCAATCAGATTGGCGCCAAGGTAAGCGGCTAGGGCTCCGCTGGACGGGCGCCAGCGGTACGGTCAGCCGGGGAAGATGGCGGAAGCGGCGGCGCTCTCACTGCGTCCTGGATACCGGCGTACGCTGGGCCGGGACGTAGAAGCGGTGGCTGGTGGCGGTGGGGGCGGACCGTGCGGGGCCCTAGGGACCCGTCGCTCGGGCGCTTTGGAGACGGGGGTGGTGTGGGGTGGGGGGAAGGGCCTGCCGCACCCATCCGGGGCGGGGCTGCCTTGGAGCGCACCGGCCGCCGTGACTCAGCTAACGCCCGAGTCCCTTGCAGTTCTGGGAGGTGATCAGCGACGAGCATGGCATTGATCCCACCGGCACGTACCACGGAGATAGCGACCTCCAGCTGGAGCGTATCAACGTGTACTACAACGAGGCCACCGGTAAGACTCCCCTCTCCGTACACCGTCCCGATCACCCCTCCGGGTTGACCACGCTTGACGTCCCCCTGTCCCACCAGGTGGCAAGTATGTTCCCCGTGCCGTGCTCGTGGACTTGGAGCCGGGCACCATGGACTCGGTGCGCTCGGGGCCCTTCGGGCAGATCTTCAGACCTGATAACTTCGTCTTCGGTGAGTGCGGTGGGGGGTGTGGGCGGAGCTTGCTACCCCCTGAGGCTCAAAGGTCAAGGGGCTGACCTAAAGTCCCTGCTGACTAGCCGGCCAGGTGTAACACTTTTCCTGACCTCTGAGTCACTCAATCCCTTGGTCAAAGCAGCTTTGGGAGGAAAGTCTGTCTGCCGGCAGGCTAGTTGCTGGTAGAGAGTGTGAGCAAGCCTGACCTGGTGGCCGGGGTCCCTGTGCCGTCCTTGAATATTGGCAGGGGTGCCTAGGGAAGTGTTACTGTCCTAGCTGTGGTCCCCCACCCGCCCTTCTTTTTCCACACATGGCAAGTTGTTGTGTCATTTCAGGGGTCTGTTCACTTTTTTATTATAGAGGTGACAACCTCAAACCATTTGGCCTTTTGGGCACGTACCTAGTGAGTGACCAGCTGTTTTCTCTTCCAGGTCAGAGTGGGGCTGGGAACAACTGGGCCAAGGGGCACTACACAGAAGGCGCAGAGCTGGTTGACTCGGTGTTGGACGTTGTGAGGAAGGAAGCTGAGAGCTGTGACTGCCTGCAGGGCTTCCAGCTGACCCACTCCCTGGGTGGGGGGACTGGGTCTGGGATGGGTACCCTCCTTATCAGCAAGATCCGGGAGGAGTACCCGGACAGGATCATGAACACCTTCAGTGTGGTGCCTTCCCCTAAGGTGTCGGACACAGTGGTGGAGCCCTACAATGCCACCCTCTCAGTTCACCAGCTTGTTGAGAACACAGATGAGACCTATTGCATTGATAATGAAGCACTCTATGACATCTGTTTCAGAACCCTAAAGCTGACCACACCCACTTATGGCGACCTGAACCATCTAGTGTCCGCCACTATGAGTGGGGTAACCACCTGCCTGCGATTCCCTGGCCAGCTAAATGCTGACCTGCGGAAGCTGGCTGTAAATATGGTGCCCTTCCCTCGCCTGCACTTCTTCATGCCTGGCTTTGCCCCCTTGACCAGCCGAGGTAGCCAGCAGTACCGTGCCCTGACAGTTCCTGAGCTCACCCAGCAGATGTTTGATGCCAAGAACATGATGGCTGCCTGTGATCCCCGCCATGGGCGCTACTTGACAGTGGCTGCCGTGTTCAGGGGCCGCATGTCTATGAAGGAGGTGGACGAACAGATGCTTAACGTCCAGAACAAGAACAGCAGCTACTTTGTTGAGTGGATCCCCAACAATGTGAAAACAGCTGTCTGTGACATTCCACCTCGGGGCCTAAAAATGTCCGCCACCTTCATCGGCAACAGCACCGCCATTCAGGAGCTGTTCAAACGCATCTCAGAGCAGTTCACAGCCATGTTCCGACGCAAGGCCTTCCTGCACTGGTACACGGGTGAGGGCATGGATGAGATGGAGTTCACCGAGGCTGAGAGCAACATGAATGACCTGGTGTCCGAGTACCAGCAGTACCAGGATGCCACGGCTGAGGAGGAGGGCGAGTTTGAGGAGGAGGCTGAGGAGGAGGTGGCCTAGAGCTGTCTTACGCAGCTAACGCATGGGAGCAGTGTGAACTCTTTATTCATTCACAGCTTGTCTGCTAGCCATGTCCACTGTGCATTTGCTGTCCTGTCCTGACATCACTTGTACAGATACCACCATTAAAGCAATTCATAGTGTGTGGCTTCGCCTCTCCAGTTCCTTCTGATAGGCCTTGCGGGTGCTGTTACCGAATGTCAGTGCGTAGTTGTCCTGCATGGCTGCAAGAGAGAAAGGCTTAAGCTGAGTTCCTGGGGTTAGCAGTGGGAGAGGTCAGTGCAGGCTGTGAACAGAGCAGCCTCTAGGATCTTGTGGTTACCCTCTTCAAATAGGCATGGAGCAACCTTGCTGGCTTTGTAAGTTTATGGGAAAGGCTGCTGAGCCCATACTGACTGGGTAGTTAAGACAAAACCGGGACTCTGAACAGTGGGCCAACAACTGATTATCAGGTAGGTGAGGCGGGACCCCAGCCATTTGATCACGTCATAGGTTTGGTGTGTAGTATGATCTTGTCCTTTTGAAGTGGGGATGGGCTTCTGGCAGGGAGCAGTACTCACATGGGATGAAGCCCATGTAGAAGGGAATCAGGCCTTGACTTCTGTAGATGGTGGTGCTTGGCCAGTGGGTCTTGGGCAGCCTTTCCCCCAGAGCACAGACTGGGTGTCTGAATATGAACTGGAGAAATGGATATGTGCTGAGGAGCGCTGTCTCCCCACATGGGTGACCAAGATCTTGCTTCTGAGAGTTGTTATCCATCTGACTGAGCACCCAATCCCCCTTACCAGGGTAGGGAATCAGCCCTTGTTAGGATGTGAAAAGGCCTTAAGGGTGACCCCTGGGGAATGGATGCTTTCAGCTGGGAGCAGAAGCAGAACCAGCCCAGCTGAGGCACCTGGAAGCAGGCTAGGCCCATGTTTTCCTACCTGGTTCTTGTCAAAGTCATCCATAGCTTGTGTGACTCCATCACGGTAATTCATCCCCATCACCCAGGCAAACCGGGGGACAAAGCCAGCATAGCCTGGAGATGGGTGGGATGTCAGGGTTTTTCCCTGGCTGCCTTCCGGGCATAACCCACGCTCCCAGGTGTGTCAGAAATGCTGAGCCCTTCCATCCCTACAGGTTGGTTGCTGACTCTTGGGGCCAAATTTAGCTCCTCATGGGGGCAGCTGGGCTGGCTCAAGGAAAAAAGTCTTAAGCGTGAGGCCAAACACACCCTGTTCTAGGGTAGGTAGGAGCCCAGGTAACAAGCCTTGTTCTCACCATCTCCTCTGGACCCTGTCCCCTCACTGGGAACAGCCCAGGCACCCAGCACATACCTGAGATGGCCTTGCGTTGGATTAGGTTGGGGTGGTCTAGCTGGGGTAGTCGCTGGAACCTGCCCACATCTAGTGTCTCCTGCGGGGGGTGTGAAGGCAGGTACTCGTCCCTCCTGCAGTGGTAGAGCTGGGACAAGGAAGTGTAAATGACCACACAGCTTCCACCTGTGTGTGTGTGTGTTGGGGCCAGGAGCCAGGCCAGGTGTCTCCACTTACCTGGTACCTCCCTGGGGTCTCCTGAAGAGGTGCTGCGTTCTTCCAGGCCTCTTCCCCATATGCTAGCAATAGACCTGGGTGCCCCAGGTCTTTAGCCTCTCCCTTCCTCCCTGGAGGGAATGGTGGGTAGGGAGGATAAGGCATGAAGCCTGCAGGCATTGAAACCTGTCTGGATATGTTCTCTACCTGGGGCGGCCCCTGGGTGTCCATCTCCTGGCGTGGGAGCTGGCCCAGGATCTCAAAATTCTTGTAGGGTTTCAGACCTGTACAGACAGGACAGCTCTTGAGCCATATAGGAAGGAGGGTGGAGTCCCAGAGGAGGCAGGCCTGGGTGGGGTCCCACCCTGGACCTGAAGCTCACTGGTATAGTGGGGGATGTAAGGCTCTGTCAGGTCCTTGCAGGGAATCCATGGGGACTTAGATTTGCTGAAGTCCTCGATGAACCTGGGCTTGGACATAGGTGACAGAACAGAGCAGGGGCTCTTCTGTACGCTGGGGTCTGTGAGCAGCTGTGCAGTAGTGCGGCCATAGGTGTTCCCCACCTGGTAGCGCAGTTGAGGATAGAAACCAGCATAGCTGTGGAGAGAAGCAGGGGAGATACCACTCCTGTCTGTCAATTAGCAGGCATGGGGCCATGGCTCACTTTAGATGACGGTAACGGAAGCACTCGCTCTCTGGGACGCCTAGGATTCGGGGTAGCATGTGTCAAGTCTGACAACACTGTCATCACTGCGATCAGATCGTTCTCCACAGTGGACCCCTACACAGTTATCGCATTTTCTGTGCATGGGTGTTTTGCCTGCATGCATGTCTGTGTGCCACATGTGTGTCTAGTGCTTGCGAAAGTCAGAAGAGGGTGATGGAGCCCCTGGAACTGGAGTTACAGTTTGTTGTGAAGCTACCGTGTGGATACTGAGACTTGAACTTCTGAACCCTGCAAGACCAGCAAGAGCTCTTAACAGCAGAGTCATCTCTCCAGCCCGGCACCCATCCATTCTCAACGCTCCCTCCCTCACCCCATTGACACCTCCAAAAGTGGCCAATATTGAAAGGAGGTATAGGTCCTTCAGTTTTCCCCCTATTCTGTGTCCCATGTTGCACTTGAGTCTAGGTAGGTAGGCACACACACTTTCTTTGGAAGGTTTTTATTTTTATTATTTAGTTTGCTGTGCTGGAGATCAGACCCAGGACTTTGCATATGCATGTTAGGCACCCTACCTCTGGGCAATACCAGAGGTATTGTCTGTTTTTAACTGGACTATACTTCTTCTGATCTGAATCATCTATTCCTATGGAGGGCAAGTCCAGCATTTGCTTATCCAGTCTCTGCCAGATTGTTTGGCTGCCACAGTTTTTGCCCTTGACAGACACACTGGCCACCTAGTACTGCATTCAGGTTTAGGCCACAGCGAAGGGCAAGGCCTAGGCCTTCATCTGGAGCTCCAGCTCGGATTTTCCTGTCCCAGAGCTCTTCAGCCCCAGTGGTCTCTATTCCACTCCTTGGTAACCCTGACTTTGGGTCTCTTCAGCATTGGTCCTCAGCCTCCTGGAGTCCGGGTTAAACCCCAGCCCTCCTGCTCATCCCTCTCTCCCGACCCCAACCTCGCTCTGTAGAGCTCCCAGCTCTTACCCAGGGATGTAGTGGGGTTCTGGAGTGAAGAGGCTGTGTTTCTGAGTAGCTGTCATTTGCTTTGCCTTGCTGGTTCAGCCCTTTCTGCGTCCACCTTCCTTCCCTGAAAAGAGACCTGTTGCCTGGTAACCATTGTGAAGGGGCCAGCCATCTGTTAACCCTGTGAGTGCTCCCAATCTCACAGCATCTCTAGTTCAGAGACCAGTTAGGAAGGTGTCCTGAGCCAGGCAGGGTGTCCTGGAAGGAAGCCCCACGCACCCAGAGTTCAGGAGCCAGACATGGAAAGAGGCTGGACTCTCACCACTCCCCGAGGCCAAGCCCCACTGACAAGCAGTCCCTGCTTCCTGGTGGGGTTCTTTACCTAGTCCTTCTCCACTGATGAAGTCAGCACTGAGTCAGGTTTCCCAGATGACAGCTGTGTGGACTCTCCAATAGGCTTGTTCCCCTGTAGTAAGACATTGATTTCCATACTTAACAAAGCCCCTTTCTGTTTGGTTGGTTGGTTGGTTGGTTTGGTTTGATTTTGGTTTTTCGAGACAGGGTTTCTCTATGTAGCTTTGCGCCTTTCCTGGAACTCACTCTGTAGCCCAGGCTGGCTTCAAACTCACACAGAGATCTGCCTGCCTCTCGAGTGCTGGGATTAAAGGCGTGTGCCACCACCGCCTGGCTCTTCTATGTTTTTTTAATGTAGAAAGAACTTTCAGGGCCGGAGATATGGCTCAGTGGTTAAGAGCACTGGCTGCTCTTTCAGAGGACCCAGGTTCAATTCCCATGGCAACTCACACCTGTCTGTAACTCCAGTTCCAGGGCTTCTGACACCCTCTCCTAGACATACATGCAGGCAAAAACACCAATGAACATAAACTAAAAATTAAAAAACAAAAAACTTTCTTTGATGCTGGTGAGATGGCTCAGAGGTAAAGACTGCTCGTCATGACAGCTGACAGACTGAGTTCAGTCCCAGGAACTCACCAAGGGAAAGGAGAGAGCTTCCTCCCAAAAGTTGTCCTCTGAATTCTACTAACACACTCTAGGCAAATAAAACCCTATTTAATAACAAAAATCCTTTGTTTTTGCATGTGTGTGCAGACACGCCCAGATGTGTGCAGAGCCCAGTGGCTGTGTTCTAGCCTTCCCCTACCTAACACTGTCAACCTTGGTTTCTTCTTTTCTTTTCTTTTTTTTTTTTTTTTGAGACAGGGTTTCTTTGTGTAGTTTTGGTGCCTGTCCTGGAACTCACTCTGTAGACCAGGCTGGCCTCAAACTCACAAAGATCCACCAGCCTCTGCCTCCCGAGCGCTGGGATTAAAGACATGTGCCACCACCGCCGGGCCGCCAACCTTGTTTTGTAAGGCAGCTTCTCTCACTGGTCTCTGAGGCTTACTGATGAAGCTAGGCCAGCCAGGCAGTGAGCCCAGGGATCCCCCTGTCTGTGCATCCCCAACACTTGCTTTATAAAACAGTTTTTTAACTGTGTACACACGTGCTATGGCACTCCTATGGAGGTCTGAGGTCAACTTTGGGGAGTTGGTTATCTCCTCCACCATGTGGCTTCTGGGGAGTGAACTCGGGTTGTCAGGCTTCGGTGGCAAGTCCCTTTACCCACTGAGCCATCTTGATGGCCCAGGCATGCCACCAAGACAAGCTTTTTCTGAGTGTGCTGGTGAGTCATACTAAAGTCCACATAACTTGCACAGAAAGCACAACTGAGCTCTGTCCCCAGCGCGCAGGAAGAACTTTATAACCATGAAAGTGAATGTGTCACAAAGGGAAGACCAGCGTAGGCAATAATGGAAGGCAGACTAAACTTTGCAACAGCTGTGTGAGCAGATAAGTCCATGTAAGGGACTGGTGGAGGGCTGGGGACGTGGCTCAGAGGAAGACCACTCTCCCAGAGGACCTGAGCTTGGTTTTCAGCACTCACATCAGGCATCTCGTGACTCTAGCTCCAGGGAATCCAACACCCCCGGCCTCCGGGCATCTGCACTCAAGTGCACATACCTACCCACAGACACATAGACAGTTAAAAATACTAAGGAAAGCTGGTCTGTAGTGGCGCAAGCCTTCAATCTCAGAATTCAAGAGGCAGAGGCAGGCAGATCTTTGAGTTCCAGGCCAGCCTGGTCTACAGGACAGTCAGGGCTACACAGAAAAACCTTATCTGAAAAACCAAAAAATAAATAAATTCAGATGATTGCTTTAGAGTCTCATTAAAAATAAATCTTTTAAAACATCTTATGAAATAAAACATTAAAAATTAGCCCCCGATATTTTTAGTGTGGGTCGCGGAGGTACACCTGGAGCACAATTTGCTAATATAGATCAAGTCCAAACAAGACACTGCTCTCACCACCCTAAAGAAGTGCTCTGAAACTGATAGCCAAAGATACGTGGTGGTTGTGGTGGGGACTAGACAGGTGTTTTAGCAGCTCTTGTTGATCTTGCAGAAGATCCAGGTTCAACTCCCAGCATCCACATGGTAGCTCCCAACCATCTGTAACTCCACTTCCAGATGAATCTGATGCCTTTTTCAGACCACCGCATCACTAGGTTTAAATGTGGTAACACACACGTACATGTAGGCAAAACACACATACACATTAAATAATTCCTGAAGCAAGAAATATACATGTGTGACACCATCACAACTACATCTGTTTCTTGCTTGCTTGCTTGCTATGTATCCCAACCCGGCCTTGAACTTGCAGCCATACTCTTGCCTCAGCCTCCCCAGGGCTGAGGTCACAGGTGTGGCCACCATACACGGCTCCATAGCCGTAGGAGTGTGTGCGAGAGGCCAGGAGCTGGTGTTGGGGTTCTTCCTCAACTGCTCCCCATCTTAGGTTTTTGTTTTTGAGATATGGCTTGTCTCACAGAACTTGGAATGCATCGGTTCAGTTCAACTGGCTGGCCAATGAACTCCGGGGATCCTCCATCTCCCCAGTGCTGGGGGTGCAGAGGCCCACCCCTGAATTTTATGTGGATACTGGGCATCCAACTCAGGTCCTCATGAATGCACAGCGGGCCCGTTACTTCTGGAGCGCCAGTATCCCCACAGCAGTATTTACTGCAGGGCGGAACTGGAGACACCTTAATGTCAGCAAGTGCGTCTTCAGAACCCTCCGCACCAGGTACCTTAACACCATCAATTACGTTCTCAGAGGACACTGCACAATGCGGGAGGAGGCTCTGGGCAGCCTGTGAAACCTTCGTCCAAATCAAACTGGTTTCCTCATGTCTCCATCCATCTGTCCAGAGAAGTGTCAGCCAGGGCCAGTGCTAAAGGGAGAGATCAGAAAGGCAGAGGCCCAGTCACGGTGGAGGAGGGCTGGAGGAGACTGTGGAGAGGGTGTCTTTAGTCTCGAGTGCTGCCTGGGAAGTGTGGGGGCCAGGGGCAGGGCTGGGACAGCCAGACCAGCCAGCACCAGAGGCCACTCTGCAAGGGCCTTCGTGCCCAGATGGGTTCTTGCTTCTTCAGGCTCAGTATTCCTTTGTTCATCTAATACAATCTGGCCTTCTGGCCTCGGTGCAGGCAGGCAGAGGCAGAAGACAAGGGCTCCTAACTAGCCCTGCCGGAACTGGCCTGACTCGGAAGGCAGGCCCGAGGTACTGTGCTTTGTCTCCCCATGACAGGGTCTGCTGCAGGGCCAGCAGCTCTTCCTCTTCCTCCTGACTGTCTTTCTCCTGTTAGCTGGCCCTCACTCTCCCACCTAGCCATACTGCAGGACTTGGCATGTACTCACACGCCCCAGCCCCTCTTCACCTAGGGTGGGGCTCCAGACCTCCCAGAAGTACTGCTAGAGTGGACCCAAGCCCCCAGGAGAGGAAAAAAAAAAAGGGTTGGGACAGGTTAGAGCCTATCTTGACCAAGGCTGACCTGGATGACGGTCTCAACAGGTAGGGAGAGGGGCAGAGGATGGAGGCCTTGTAGGAGAGTCCCTCCTGATCTGGACAATGTTCCTTTCCTAGGGAGCTCCCAGCAACAGAGGGGAGGGGCATGACCCAACAGTGAGGTCACAGAGCCCAGCGGTGCCCTCTGGAAAGACAGCCCGAGACCTAGAATGAACTTTGACCAGAAGGCTGTGAAATTCCTGGCAAATTTTTACATCAATGGAGGCAAACACTGGACCCGGGGTCCCCTGAGTCAGCAACCTCTTCACCCTACCCAGTAATTTCAGAGGGTGGCGGACAGGTGGGGACTCAGGAGGAAAGACCAGTCGGACAGGTGGACAGCGGTTGTTGGCTTCCTTGCAGGCCCGAGGCTGCTGTGCTGTGGTGGGACCAGGAGCTTGAGGCAGCCTGGAACGAGATGTGGCCCCCAAAGGCAAAGAGGGCCCCAAGTGGCTTCAGGTCAAAAATGAGCACCCCCAAAGAGTCCACATCTAGCTGCGTAGAGAGCCTGAGGAATCTGTGTGAGTGAGGTTCTTGGCTACCTCACTCCCACCCCAGGCCAGTGTGGGGAGGGATAAGGGGAAAGCAGTTTTCTGGGAAGAATTGGGTCTAGAGCTTGCTTTTCACACCAGTGCAAGAGCGACGGCCCCCGATCCTGACGGACCTGGATGTCCCTGGCCCCACCAAGTATGAAGTGCCCAGTGCGTCTCTTCGGGAGTCCTCTCCACATCCCCAGTACACCATGGGCCACAAGAACCCTGGTCGAGGTGCATGTCCCCACAACCCTGCCTATACCTGGGGAATGGGGGCCTCCTGCCCCGAAGACCTCCCCACCAACTATCCGCCCCACTGCAGAGGGTGGTGGCCGTAGGGCATGGCAGACCTTGTGGCTCCAAAGTGAAAGCCCCTTCACGCAGAAGACCGACTTCAACCGAGAGCGAAAGGTAGACACACTGGGTGGGCCAGGTAGAGGGAGGGTGGGAGGAGATGCTGAGGGGATTCCTTGCGGAAGGTGGGGGTGCTGCAGGTGAGGAGGAGGCGAGGAAAGGGGTCAGGGGGCTGGTGGGAGGGGCTGGAGGGAGGGGCTACGTGGCTGGGCTTGGTGATGGGCGGGACTGAGGGGATCAAAAAAAAAAAAAAAAAAAAAAAAGCAAGAGTTAGGCCTGGAGGATGGGGTAAAGCTAGGCAAGGAGATTGCAGCCCCGGGTCGCATCCTGACTCCTCACAGTGGCCATCGCCCGCCGAGTACAGGCCGCTGAGCCAGCCTGCCTTCCCGGCCTTCAGTTTTGGAGGCCGCCGCCGCTCTGTTGTCAAGATACCCAGGGATTTACGCCCAGGGATGCTACGAGCCCGAGGTCCTTGCGCCTATACCCCACTCCTGGCTGCCTCGCAGCCCTCTGGCGAGAAGCGACCTAGTCCCAACACCTATAACATCCTTCCTGGGTACCGTCTGCAGAGCACACGCTCACCTGCCTTCTCCATGAGTCGCTCCCCTGCGTTCGTCTCCTGGGTCAGCTCCTGTAAGGAGGCCTAGGAAAAGAGGCTTGGCCTGAGGGTGGAGCGGGGCTCGGGCCTCATAGGGGGGCTGCGGGGGGAAGGACTAGGGTCAGCTCACTCTCTCTCTGCAGCCCGAACCCCAGGCCCGGCTGCCTACTACGTGGAAGACTGCTACAACTCTCGCTTCCCATCTTCGCCGGGAGTGGTCATCCAAGGAGTGCGCAGACCCAAGCGTCACGACACAGGCCCCTTCTGCACACTGTAGGCCCATCGGGTAGAGACTGCAAAGCTGACCTCCCTTGAAGTTTTCCTGGGTTTCCTTTGGAACTCTGTCTGCAGCCTGGCCTTCTGACCATCTAGACACCCCTCACCCACTCTTCTGGCTTACACTGTGTGCAACAAGAAGAGTCTTTCCAGGGCCCTCCTCCCCCTACTATACTCAGATGCAAATGATTCTTTTGAACTGTGGTCTCTGGTTGCCCATCCTTTGCCTAATGGGCTATTTTGAATATGTGGCTTCCTGCTTATTTCTAGCTTTCCTGGTAGTCCTGGTTTTCTCGGCTCCTGCATGGTGCTCTTTTCTTCAGAATTGAGATGGCAGCCTGGGAACTAACCCTAAGCTGCCTGACCTAGGATAGAATAGGAAAAGGATCCTGTGGCAATGTCACCCAAGGCCCAGCATCTACCGGAGGGTCAGGCTGTTGGCTGAGCTGAAGGACTAGTGGGATAAGGTGGGAGGCCAGAACCGGGAGTATGGCCGTCCTCACACAAGCATAGCCTTGTCTAGCCCACTGAAGGCAATGGTGTCCGTTCACCAGACACTGGCCCCATTTCCCTGGAGCTTTGACATGAAGGTTCAACCGGGCTTGGTACCCTGTGTTCTGAGAACCTAAGCCCGAAGCCTTCATCCCTCTCCCCCACAGTAGCTGACTGTCGGTTCCCTGAGCACCGCTGGCCTGCTTTCCTACTCAGAAGGAGCCCCCTGCAGGCGCCTCATCTTACAGCTAGTGACAGCTGTTTCTCCAAGGGCCCACTCCATCCTTTCTTCCTCACCCAGGCACACACATCACTTTAAAACGTTAGTTACAATTTTTATGTTTTTTTTTTTGTTGTTGTTGTTTTTGTTTTTTCCAGACAGGGTTTCTCTGTGTAGCTTTGCGCCTTTCCTGGAACTCACTTGGCAGCCCAGGCTGGCCTCGAACTCACAGAGATTCGCCTGGCTCTGCCTCCCAGAGTGCTGGGATCAAAGGCGGTAGTGGCGCACGCCTTTAATCCCAGCACTCGGGATTTTTTTATGTGCACGGTGTTTTACTTGCATGTATGGTATGTGCACCTTGTGTACCTAGGGCCCAGAAGACTTTAGATCATTTGGAATTGGTGTTACAGATGGTCACAAACTGCCCTTAGGTGCCAGAATTGAACTCAGGTCCCCCCTGCTAGAATGGCAAGTGCTCTTAACTGCTGAGCCAGCTCTCCAGCTCTCAGAGCTGACTTTTATGTCTTTCTTCCTCTCCTCCCCCAGACACTATGTAGCCCTGGCTGTCTTGGAAGTGACTATACTATGCAAACCAGGCTAACCTTGAACTCACAGGGATCCGCCTGCTTCTACCTCCCAAATTCTAGGATTAAAGATATGCATCTTTGCTGAGTGTGGCTCGTGAGCCTTTAATCCCAGGAGTCAGGAGACAGAGGCAGGGGGTCTGAGTTTGAGGCCACCTGGTCTAAATGGACCCTGTCTCAAGAAAAAAAAAAGTGCATCACCAACCCTAAGCCAGAATTCACTTAATTTGTATATTCTATATATTTCATGTAATACAATTCTATAAGAATTCACTTAAAAAAGTGATTTCATCTTATGTGTACGAATATTTTCCTTTTCTTTTCTTCTTCTTCTTTTTTTTTTTTTTCCCCCCGAGACAAGGTTTCTTTGTGTAGCTTTGGAGCTTGTCCTGGAACTCACTCTGTAGACCAGGCTGGCCTCAGAACTCACAGAGATCTGTCTGCCTCTACCTTCCAAGTGCTGGGACTAAAGGTGTGCACCACCATGCCTGGCTATGTGCATGAATGTTTTAATGTTTTGTCTGCATGTATGTCTGTATACCACATGCATGTCTGTATACCACATGTATGCCTGGTACTTGAGGAGGTCAGAAGAGGGCATCAGATCCCCTGGAACTGGAGTTATGGATAGTTATGAACCACCATGTGAATGCTGGGAACCAAACCAAACCAAAGGTCCTTTGCAACAGTAACAAGTGTTCCTCCAGAGATTTTTTTGTTTGTTTGTTTGTTTTCAATATGTACCACTGCATTCACATGGAAGTCAGAGAACTAGAACAATGTCAGCTTCGGGGATCCAGCTCAGGTCTTCAGACACGGCAACACTCACCACGGAGCTGTCTTGCCGTCCTCTGAGTGCTCACTCTTGTAGTAGTTTTGCCTTGCTGTCATCACCATCCCGTTTGCAGAGTGGAAGTCTTGAACAGTCTAAGTAGGCTGTGTGTGTCTCTTCTGACTGCACCAGATGGTAGCTGAACCAAAATATTCCGGTGGGGAATTAGAGTGAGGGGACCTTTGCTACGGGTCCTGTGTGGAGCCATTCAGCTGGCAAAAACAGGAGCAGAGGTGTGCAGTCCTGGTCTTAGGCACTCAGCCTCAGTGGGAACAGGAGCTCTGTTTATAGCCACAACACCAGGCATCCTAGTGCCAGACGTTCGAACAGGAGTGATCACCCTTTAGTCGGGCTGAGGGCCCCACAAGGATGTGGTGGGCAGCAGGGAGGGAGTTTTAGCAGAGTAAACCTCAGCAGCAAAGGCACATGAAAAAGAGAGGTGTGGTGTGCAGGAGGTGTGTGCAGGTGGGATGAAGGGTGAGAGATGGACCAGTGTGGGAGGCTGCAGAGAGCTAAATGCTGAACCCAAGAGCATACACACCAGACAGCTTGAGAGTCAAAGCAGCTGCTTTTACTGCCAAGGACAAGCGACACTGCGCAGCAGCCTGGACTCTAGCTCAAATATCGATCTTCACATGCCTATAACGAAGGTGTAGCTCCCACTGCATACCCAGAGCTCTCGCAAAGCACCTGTGTATGGTGCCACTGCAGGCACATTCAGATTTCAGTCCAAATGAAGGCAAAGGTGTGCGCTTTGTGAAGATCACGTTATGCCTTACACCCGTGGGCACGAGAAGAAAAATTCTCAACATCAAAAGAGTGCTATATCGATAGTCATATAAAAATGTACTTGGATACAACTCAGTTTTGAAATTCATAAGGTAGGTGATTTCTACCATACGTCCATAGAGAGGCCCGCTACCACTCCACCCTTTCTCCTCTGGGGCTCAGCGTGTGGGTTCTGGTTTCCAGGGAGCAGACGAGGTGAAAAGCGGAAGATTTCGTGGCACTGGCGGCAGCGGCTAGAGTGGCCAAGGTCTCTCGAGAGGTGGTTGCGTCATCTCGACACCGCCCCTTGCGCACAGTCTCACTACCTCTTACTGGGTAGCAAGTCGCTGCCCGGAACCTGTGCGTGGCGGCGGCGTTTTCCCGGGACCTATTCGCTGCTGGACCTAAGCAGTGAAGGGCGGAAGTGGGAGGTGTGGGCCGGTGCAAGCGGCTCTGCTGGGCGATCTGGCCACGCTGGAGGCTGCGGGCGAGCGGGGTTCGGGGGGTCCCCGTGGCACCGTGGAGAGGGCTTCTGGCGCTCCTTCAGCGTCCGCGACGGCTCCGGGGGAGCGCGGCGGGGATGGGGTACACAGCCGGGCGGCAGCGGGAGCCTCGGCCATGTTCGCGGGGCTCCAGGACCTGGGCGTGGCCAATGGCGAGGACCTGAAAGAGACCCTGACCAACTGCACGGAGCCACTCAAGGCCATTGAGCAATTTCAGGTGGGCAGGAGGGTGCCGGGCCGCTGGGGAGGTCGGACACAATTCTGCGCTCTCCCGACGCTTGGATGGAGGCACTGAAGGTCCTGAGCTAGGAGTCCACTGAGTAGCTTGAGTGTTTTCTCCTTTTTCGCGGTTACCACCTCGGACCTGTGTACTCAGGGCATCCATGGTGCCCGAGCTGACTTGGCTGCGGCCAAGCAAAATGCATACGCATTGACCCTCTGCTTTCCCAGACAGAGAATGGCGTGCTGCTGCCCTCCCTGCAGTCGGCCCTGCCCTTCTTGGACCTACACGGGACACCGCGGCTGGAGTTCCATCAGTCAGTGTTTGATGAGCTACGCGACAAACTGCTGGAACGAGTGTCAGCTATCGCCTCTGAGGGAAAGGCAGAGGAGAGGTGGGTCTCTGCTGGGGAGCTGCTTGTCTTTGTGGGTAACATTCATGGCCCCCACGGCTGCACAGTCGTACTTGTACATACGACCTGGAATGTGTTTGAGGAGACTCCTCTGTATGTCCTGCATGTGAAGACCCACTTTCTCAGCTGAGCAAATCTGCCCAGGTACAAGAAGCTAGAAGACCTTCTGGAAAAGAGCTTTTCTCTGGTCAAGATGCCATCCCTACAACCAGTGGTGATGTGTGTCATGAAACACTTGCCTAAGGTAAGAGCTGTGGAGCCAGCCCTCCTAGGGGAGGCCAGTGAGCCTGTGATACACACTGCTTAGCTAGCCTGCCTCATACACTTGGTTGGTGGAGGTCAGACTATTGGTTTGGTGTAGCCAGTTGCTTAGCTCCTGGGAAGTTGTATGAACTTGGCCTCCAGCAAGCTCTGGGCACCTTCTCTGTATCACAGAATTCCCCTGGGTGAGCCAAGTGGAGACACATTTATCCCTTGAGTTGGAGGGTGGGTCTTTCCTGGGAGAGGTCCGTAGGGATTCTGGATGTCTGAATTCACCTGCTAAGACATGGCGATCCATCACAGGTGCCTCTCTTGGTGTGGCTGGGCTCTACAGGTTCTGTGGGCAACTGAGGCTTCTCGAGCTATCCTGAGGGAGACTTGGGGACACAGGCGCCTCTTGCAGGGAGCTCTGGTGTTTGCTGTGTAGGTTCCTGAGAAGAAGCTGAAGCTGGTGATGGCCGACAAGGAATTGTACCGAGCGTGTGCCGTGGAAGTCAAGAGGCAGATCTGGCAAGACAACCAGGCCCTCTTTGGTGATGAGGTCTCACCACTGTTGAAGCAGTATATCCTGGAGAAGGAGAGTGCGCTCTTCAGCACAGAGCTGTCCGTCCTGCACAACTTCTTCAGCCCTTCCCCCAAGACCAGGCGCCAGGGAGAGGTGAGGAAGTCAGAGTGGGGCAGATGACCCCAGGGGTGTGCGGCCAGCCCCTTCCTTGCTTGCCTCTTCCCTGCGAGTGTGTATGTTAGTCTGTTTCTATAAGCATGAGCTTGTATATGTGGCTGGGAAAAGGTTGGTTGGCAGAAGGTTGAGGCAGGAGGATTGCTGTGGAGATTGAGGCTAGTCTGAGTAACGTAGCAGATATCCTCTGAAAAAAATCAAAAAGAGCCAGGCGGTGGTGGTGCACGCCTTCAATCCCAGCACTGGGGAGGCAGAGCCAGGCAGATCTCTGTGAGTTCAAGGCCAGCCTGGGCTACAGAGTGAGATCCAGGACAGGCACCAAAACAACATGGAGAAACCCTGTCTCGAAAAACCCAAAAGACAAAACAAAACAAAAACCCAAAAAGAAAACACTGAATTTAACATTTTACTTGTTACTGATGTTGGCATTTTTTAAAATTCAAATCTGCTTATTTATTTATTTTTCAGACAGGATCTTTCATTGTAGCCCTGTCTGGTCTGAAACTCGCTATATAGACTAGGCTGGCTTTGTGCTCACAGAGATCCACCTGCTCTGCTCCCAAGTGCTGTGTTTAAAGAAAGGCATGACTACTATGTCTAGCTCATAAGTGGTGTCTTTAGCCAGGTGGTGGTAGTACAGTTCATGCCTTTTAGCCCAGCAGAGGCAGGTGCATCTCTGAGGCCAGCCTGGTCTACAGAGAGAGTTCCAGGACAGACAAGGACTGCTAAGGCTACACAGAGAAACCCTGTCTCAGAAAAAAGAAAAAACAAGAAAAAAAAGTGGCATCTTTAACATTTTTTTAAAATTAATTTTAATTATGTTTATGTGTCTGTGTGTGGGTATGTACACATGTATTGGTATGTGCCCACAGAGGCCAGGGTTGTTAGATGCCCATGGAGTTGGAATCTGTTCATGAGCCACCTGATGTAGGTACTGGGAATTGAACCCACCTCGTCTTAGAAGAGCAGTATGTGCACTTTACTGCTGAGCCATCTCTCCAGCCCATAACTGACATATTTTATGTTGAAGTTTTTTGTTTCTTGTTTTTGAGATAGGATTTCTCTGTGTAGCCCTGGTTGTCCTAGAACTCGCTCTGTAGACCAGGCTGGCCTCAAACTCAGAGATCCATCTGCCTCTGCCTCCCAAGTGCTGGCTGGGATTAAAGTCATGCGCCTCCATGCCTGACTGAAAAAATTCTTTTTTTTTTTTTCTGAGATAGAGTTTCTCTGTGTAGCTTTGCGCCTTTCCTGGAACTTGCTTTGGAGACCAGGCTGGCCTCGAACTCACAGAGATCTGCCTGGCTCTGCCTCCCAAGTGCTGGGATTAAAGGTGTGTGCCACCACTGCCCGGCTGAAATTTTTTTTTAATTGTTATTTATTGTGTATGTGTGTCAATGACCATGTTGTTTGGAGGTCAAGAGACAATTTGCAGGAGTCAGTTCTCACACCTTGTGAGTTTTGGGAATTGAACTTAGGGTTGTCAGGTTGGCAGCAGATGACCTTACCCACTGAATCATCTTGCTAGTTCTTAAGTCAAGACTTTGTAAGTGGCTTCCTTTAGGCTAGCACTGGTTAATAGAAAGATAAAGTGAGTTATGTAAGTCATTCAAATTTTCCTAGTGTCTACTTTGACAAAAATAGGTAAGATCATTTTTGATGTTTTTCCTTCACCTAATCTATTCAAGGTTTTGTCTTTCAACCTGTAATTGATGTGAGCCGTTATTTAGCTATATTGCCTTCATTGGAGGAGTTACTAAGTTTGAAGTCTGGTGAGCTTTTCAAGCTTAGGGCATATCATTTGCCACGTTCCACATGTGAAAGGCTTTGTGTGGCTGTGGTTGGTTTTTAAGGCTCCACCATGGATATTGGTGGCTGCCGTGTTGGAGGGAGTCGTGGCCCTTGCCGTTCCTGCCCTGTGCTTGCTTACTCCTTCCTGAACGTTTCTCTTTCCATTGTTGTCAGGCAGAATGTTCTGCCCACCCTGTCCCCCAGCCCTTCTCCCACCTCCCGTTTCTTCTGGTGATCGACCACAGACAGCACTGACTTCTGACTGTCAGCGGACTTGCTTGGTGGGCCTTGTCTTGGGTTGATTTTTTTAAAAAAGTTGCATTCTTAGCCGGGCGGTGGTGGCACACGCCTTTATCCCAGCACTCGGGAGGCAGAGGCAGGTGGATCTCTGTGAGTTTGAGGCCAGCTTGGGCTACCGAGTAAGTTCTAGGAAAGGCGCAAAGCTACACAGAGAAACCCTGTCTCAAAAAAAAAAAAAAAAAAAAAAAAGCATTCTTATGTATATAAGCGCAAATGGAAAAATGTACAGAAGAGCAGAAAACTGCAGGGAAGAGATGGGAAAATGGCTTTCTGGGTAAGATTGTTTGCATGAAGACCTGAGTTTGAATCCATAACACGCATAAGGAAGTCCAGTGTAGCCACAGATTGCTGTAACCCCAGTGCTGGAAGGGAGGAAGCAGAGACAGGAGAAATCACTGGGGTTTGCTGGCCTGCCAGTGTAGACAGAAACGAACAGAACCTGTTGAGCTGCAGGTTTAGTGAGGGACCCTGTCTCAAGTGTATAAGGTAGAGAATGGTAGGAAGGTTTTTGCAAGTGTGGGCTCAGATGTACACACTTTCTAGGTGTCTAGCTGTCTGTCTGTGGCCAGTGGTATGCTGGCTTCTTCCAAGGTTCTCCTGGCTCTCTGATCCTCTGGCCTTCTGACTGTCCTGCTTTGACATGCCAGGCCACACTAGGTCTGATTTAGCCCAGTGTCCTGTGTTGATTGGGCTATTCTCCAGGTTTCCTCTCCTTTCCTGCATTTCCTTCCTGTTGGCTGGATTTAGAATTACAGTCCTAAGTGCCAAAGACCTTTCGTGATGTCTCTGTTGCTGGTTTCTGCGGATGAGTCTGATCTATGGCACTTTGATGCTGGCCTGTTTTTCCTCTTGGAAACTTCGCAGACTCTTCTTTCTAAGAGCTCTGTGATTTTACAGCACTGGGGACATCAGGCTAGTGGGTCACCCTCTCAGGCTTGGCTGTAGGACAGCTGTCTTGCCTGTGAGCAGGTGGTCCCAAGCTGGTCATGTGTGAAGCAGGCACACACTACATGTCAGGGTTAGATTATCTCTGTGCTCTGTACCCAGTGAGTGAGGGACCCTTGAACCATCCACATGGCTCGAGTGATGTCAGCAGTGAAGATTTTGTTCCTGAGATAAAGATCCAGGGCAGTCCAAGAGTTCTTGGCAGGGGTCTTGGAGAGTGAGCTACCAGACCAACTACCAGCTCTTGCCACCCTCCTCCTCCTCCCACTGACATTATTACTTGCTGAGTCTGGCCTGATGCCTTTGGGCTTCCTGGGATAACTTCACCCTGGGCTAACCTAAATGTTCCTTTGTACCATAGGCCTGAGACTCAGTTAGCCATGGCCAGTTCGCAGCTGAGCAAAACTTCTTTGTATTGGCTGGAGCCGTTATATTGAGCAGGACTGTGTGGTTTGCCTTTGTTGGGTAGAGGGGTGGGTGACATCTGCCAAGGGAGTAGGCACTGGTGTCCCTGCATGGCCCTGGCTTAGAGTACAAGGTAGAGCTGAATGTCACTGTGTGTGGTTTGACACCAGGTGCCCTGGCCTTCGTTCTGTGGTCCTGCTACTAGTGTTGGGACAAGGATGGTCACAAGCTTGGGAAGAAGCCAGGGAAGCGGAGAACCCAGGGTGGCCTCATAGGCCTTACTGTCAGCCCAGGGGCAGCGGCAGTACAGCGTGAGCTTCCTGTGTGGGGGCCCTTTCTTCAGATGGGCTCTCAGCATGGCTTGTAGCCCTTCACCTGACAGGCAGGTGCTTGAAGTCACAGTAGATCACAGACCAGGCTGTCCTCAGGATGAATGTAGAGTTACGCCTTGAGTAGCAGAAGTCGGCCCCCTAGAATACCGTGCCAACTTTTCATGGCAGAGAAAGAAATGTCTCATGCCAAAAAGAGAGAGGCCAGCTCTGTATATAGGACTAGAGCACCCATGTGTTGTTGCCTGGGTGGTGCTGAGGTGGGGATTTATTTATTTTTTTTCTCTTTGGTTTTTTCGAGACAGGGTTTCTCTGTGTAAATTTGTGCCTTTCCTGGAACTCACTTGGTAGCCTAGGTTGGCCTCGAACTCACAGAGATCCGCCTGGCTCTGCCTCCCGAGTGCTGGGATTAAAGGCGTGCGCCACCACTGCCCGGCTTTGTTTTAGTTTTTGAGAAGATTTTTTGTTTGTTTGTTTTTTGGTTTTTTAACTAGCCCTGGCTGTCCTAGAACCTGGTCTAGCCGAACTCACAGAGATCCACGTGCCTCTGCCTCCCTCCCGAGTGCCGAGATTAAAGGTGTGTGCCACCTCTGCCTGTCCTAGGGTGGGGATTTTGGAGTCCGTCTGTCTGTCTGTCTTGCCCCAGGTGGTCCAGAAGCTGACGCAGATGGTGGGGAAGAATGTGAAGCTCTATGACATGGTGCTGCAGTTCCTGCGCACCCTGTTCCTGCGGACCAGGAATGTGCACTACTGCACGCTGCGGGCCGAGCTGCTCATGTCCCTGCACGACCTGGACGTCAGCGACATCTGCACTGTGGATCCCTGCCATAAGGTAGTACTGCGTGGCCACCTGTGCACTTCCCCTGGGTCGTCCTCTGCTGAATTCATTAATCCAGGAATGCCCTCATCTAAGCTTGCTTCCGGACTTCCAGCTGTGTGTCCCTGAGCACCTCTGGGGGATGAACAGGTCCTGGCTGTGCAGCCGCCTCTCTTGCTGATCCTCCAGCTTCCACTCTCTAGCTGTAAGTGGCAAGCCCTGTGGCCATCTTTCCATTAGGCTTCTAGCTTCTTCTGCCCCAGAGCCCTCGGGGCGTCTTGCTGGTCAGTACCAAGATAACCTAGGAATGGGGTTTCCTGTACTTCCCTCCGTCCCCCACCACGAGCACAGACAATCTGAGGCCATCTCCTGGGTACCGTGTGGTGTTGCTTATTGCCAAGCACTGAGCTACACCATAAAACTGCCGTAACGTGTCCGCCCAGCTGCCAGCCCGGTTAGTTAGTTCCCTTTAGGAAAACAATACGCTTCCTCCATGTGCTGTCCTGATCCTTGTTGCTTTGGGGACTGAGGAGGTCTCCTGCTCCCTGTAAGCCACTGGTCCCCCATGAAAGCTCACTGGTGTCTCAGTCCATGCCATGTTTCCTTCTGGACACTGGGGAATGAGTACTGTGTTTCTTTTTCTTTGTTAATATCTAGTGATTGAGTGAGGAGGCACTGGTGGGCTTGACGGGCTGAGCCTGAAGACCTCTGCTGCCCCGCCTTCCGCATGGCCCCCTTCTTTCTGCTAATTGCCATTTTCTCTGTCCTCTCCAGGGACCCTTTTCTAACCTGGGCTTGGCCTAAGGTGGGGCCGTGGGCCTTGACTTGTGTTTATCGGAACTTGCCATTTCCACAGCCATTTGGGCAGTGGCAGAGTTTGACTGAGGGGTGAGAGTCGGGGTTTACCGAGATCCTGTACTTCTTTCCTGTAGTTTACCTGGTGCCTGGATGCCTGTATCCGAGAGCGGTTTGTGGACAGCAAAAGAGCCCGGGAGCTACAGGGATTTCTTGATGGTGTGAAGAAGGGACAGGAACAAGTTTTGGGGTGAGAGTCAGCTCTACAAGGGCTCTAGCCTTGGGATCCCTTAACAGGCATCTGGTGGGGCTTGCTGTGTACTGTTGGTAGTTGGGCTCGTTCCAGCCTGTTTTGGGGCAGTCAGGCTGGGTACCAGGCCACTGCTAACAGGATTATAACTCACTGCTTGGAATGAGTCTCAGTAGCGAAAGGATCCATACCCGAGAGGCATGGGGTTTGGGGCCTGCTGTTCTTGGGGGAGCTACCACAGGGGGCTTAGGCAGGAGGGGACTGCTCTCTGTAGCAAGTTAGGGTGTGCTGTCTGAGCGGCCCGGTTTCCAGCATCCTCTGTGTGCCATGAAGATGGAGTGCTGCTGGGGCAGCCCTGCCATATTTCTTTATTGTATTCTTCCACTGGCTAAACCTAGCGTTTAAGCTAGAGTGTGTGTTTTCCTTTTGAGATAGGGTTTTGTGTAGGGATTCGCTGCAGATCAAACACTGTGTAGTCCCAAACTCATCACTGAGGTCCGTCTGTTTCTCCCTCCTGAGTGCTGGGATTGAAGACGTTCCACCACCGCTTGCCTCTCAGTCAGGGTTTTTGAAACGAAGTATGAATTTAGGCTTTTTGAGGGGCGGGTAATTTTTTTTCTTTAGCTCTATAGTTTAGAAGATCTTTGAGTAAGTTATGGATAAATTATGAATTCAGTACAAAGAGAGGCTTGTTTTCTGGGGTCAGTACCCAAGCCCTTGCATCCCAGTCTGTGGCTGTCCCTTCAGTGGGCCTGACATTAATTACAGCTATTAGAAATGGAGTAGCCAGGCTTCTCAATTTATACCAAGGTCTGATTCCTTCTAGGGATTTGTCTATGATCCTGTGTGACCCCTTCGCCATCAACACACTGTCCCTCAGCACCATCAGGCACTTGCAGGAGCTCGTTAGCCAGGAGACACTGCCCAGGGTGAGCATAGGCGTGGCTGGTGGCCATGCAGAAGACATACTGTCTGTTGTGAAATTGGGATTCACTCAGTGGGTGGATATTGGCACATGGGTGCCTTATGATGGCTCTCCTAAGGTCCTGGCCCTGGAAAGCAGAGACCCTGCCTTGTTCAGTGGGACCAGAGGATGGCAGAGTCCCCGTGAGCTCTTGCTGAAGCCTCTGTCTTCTTTCAGGATAGCCCCGACCTCCTTCTCCTACTTAGGCTGCTGGCGCTGGGCCAAGGTGCATGGGACTTAATAGACAGCCAGGTCTTCAAGGAGCCCAAGATGGTATGGGGTCTAGTGTCCTCTTCTACTAATTATGGGGCGTGGCAGGGTGGGGCCCTCTAGAAGCAAAGCTCGAGTCTTTAGGTGAGCATCCATCAAGGATGTTTGGGCATCTGGGTAGACTGGCTACAGGGGTAGCTGCTATTCCATGGAGACTGGGGCCCAGAAGGGGCTTTGCAGGTGCAGCCATGATCATGCCAGATGAGAGGTGCACGAGAATACCACTGGACATGCGTCTCAGAGAACAGGAAGGAAGGATTCTGGGGACTAAAGCCTGAGAGAGCTGAATTTGAGGAATGTGTAACGGGTGGGCAAGGGCAGGGTGTGCACTGGGCAGAGTGGGCTAGGGTGTAGATTAAGAGCAGCCGGGGTCAGTGGGACCTTAGTGGGCTCAGACACTCCTTCTGCCAGGAGGCAGAGCTCATCACCAAGTTCCTGCCAATGCTCATGTCCTTCGTGGTGGATGACTACACTTTCAACGTAGATCAGAAGCTTCCAGCTGAGGAGAAAGCCCCAGTCACGTACCCCAACACGCTTCCTGAAAGTTTCACCAAGTAGGACTCCAGGGCAGTGTTTGGGGGGGCAGTAGAGCGGGGCTGCAGGTGAAGGTGCTGCGGGGTGGGCTGGTTAAAGGCCGTGGCTTCTTGCATGCAGGTTTCTGCAGGAGCAGCGCATGGCTTGTGAGGTGGGACTGTACTACGTCCTGCACATCACCAAGCAGAGAAACAAGAATGCACTCCTGCGCCTGCTGCCTGGCCTCGGTGAGTCCTGATGGCCGTGCTGGCCTGCCTGCCTGCCTGCCACCTGTGACCTGAGCTCCCAGTGTCCCTCTGCCTTCACCTCCAGCCTCCAGAGCTCCAATTCCGTCGTAGGCACTCGGTGTTTGTTTGTAGGCGGGGCTTATCTCTGTTTCCCAGACGCTGCTAGCGGGTCTTGTGATTTCCTGCAGAAGGGATTCATAGCTCTATTGCCAGGTATGGTGGCATACTTAATCCCAGCACTTAGGAGGCAGAGGCCGCCAGATCTCTGTGAGTTCAAGGTCAGCCTGGTCTACATAACCAGCTATCTCCTTCCAGCTTTATGTGGATTCCAGGCAATCAACTCAAGTCTCCAGGCCTGTGTGGTTTGTTTGTTTGTTTCTTTGTTTGTTTGTTGTTTTAAACCACTGAGACATCTCACCAGCTCTTATGTTTAGTTTGTCCATGACAACCAAGGCTACATAGAGAGACCCTGTCTCAAAACAAAACAAAATCATCTCTATTTTGTTCTTATAGGTAAAAAAAAAAAAAAAAAAAATCATAGAACTCCTTGGGTGTTCAGACAGTCCCCTTATCCAAGGAGCCTACTTTCCCCTAGCTACCTGGGGTGTCACACACACACACACACACACACACAAAAGGGAGTTCTGAGTGGGCTCTTCAGTAGTAAAGCTGCGGGCTATAGTGTATAAGTGTATAGTGTATTCAGTGATAAGAGCACTTACTTGGCATGAATAAGATACTGGATTCTATCCCCAACAAAAACAACTACCTAAAGCTACACTCTTACTGGGGAAGAGATGCCCAGTGGCGTCCTGTGCCTTTGTGATGATGGCCCCAGGCATTTGCTGACTCATCCTTTGTCTGGAGTTTAGAGGATTACACCTGGAAGATGGAGCTTCTTTTCTTTTTTCTTTTCCCAGTCAGAGTCTCACTGTGTAGCCTTGGCTGTCAAGGAACTCACTCTGTAGACCAGGCTGGCCTCGAACTCAAGAGATCCGCCTGCCTCTGCACCACCCCCCCTTACCCTGCCAGTGCTGGGCACCACTGCCCGCCTTCTTCACGTGTGTTTGTAAGTCACTGGTGAACCTGTTTCCTGAAGCTGTGTGCATGCTGGTTATGCAGCTTCCGTCTGACCGGATTTACCTGGCTGGGCCTTTAGTTTTCTTTTCAACAAGTTACCACAGACTTAGCAGCTTGAAACAGCTCAGTCTTACTGTCTGCTGTTATAGAGGCAGGAAATTTGAAGTGAGCCTTGCTGAGCTAAAATTGGGTATGGCCAGACTCCTTTGATATACTCTGTGCCCTCTCCAGCTGTAGGGGCATCAGGACATTCTGCTGGTCACGGAGTTAGCTTGCTTAAGACCTTAGGAACACATGTGGTACCTTTGATTTGCCTTTTCCATGCATTTCAGTCTGTCTGTTGTCTGGTATGTTTCTGTCTGTCGTCTGGTATGGTACCAGTAAACTGGCAGTGTGGCCTGTCCTTCTGGCTAGGGCATCTCTACCTGGGATGTACCTGTGGTGTACCATTCAGTCATGTTTAGAAAAATCTTAAGAAGGTTGGAGAGATGGCTCAGTGGTTAAGAGCACTGGTTGCTCTTCCAGAGGACTCCCAGTTAATTCCCAGCATCTACATGGTGGCTCACAGCTGTCTGTAATTCCAGTAGTAGGGGATCCCATGCCCTCTTCTGGCCACTGTGGACACCAGGCATGAAAGGCATGTGCCACCACACCCAGCTCTCTGAGTGCTGGTATGAAAGGCTCGTGCCACCATGCCTGGCCCCAAGTAAGAACTAAATTTCCTGATCTTGCCTCTACCTCCCATCTGCTGATACTATATACTGCCATGCCCAGCTGTATTAGGTACTTTGTATTGCTGTGACTCTAACAGAAACAACAGAAAAAACAAGTAGTTTTTTTGTTTGTTTGTCTTTTGAGACAGGGTTTCCCTGTGTTGCCCTGGTTGGCTGGAACTCACCCTGTAGCCCAGGCTGGCCTCAAACTTACAGATATCTGCCTGCCACTGCCCCTTGAGTGCTGGGATTAAAGGCATGCACCACCAAGCCCCAGCTAAGAGTTTATTTTTATTTTATGAGTGTTTTGCCTGAAGGTATATAAGTGCGCCAGGTGTGTGTAGTGCGCACAGAGTCCAGAGAGGCGTCAGGTCCCCTGGATCTGGAGTTAGAGATGGCTGTGAGCTACTGTGTGGGTGTTAGTAATGGAATCTGGGTCCAATGCAAGAGTGCAGTGCTGCTACCACCCCCCCCCCCAGCCACCACCGGTCCCAGTTTTAGAAGAAAGAAGGTTTCAGTTCATACAGCGGGAGTGTGTGGCAGAGGCTGTTCACAGCACAGCAAAGCAGGAAGCAGGGTGTGACTGGGATCGGGACTAGTTCTGATCCTTAAATACCTGCTCTTAGTGACCTACTTCCACCAGCCAGGCCTCTCCTCCTAAAGGTTCCTTCAAAACAGCACCACCAGCTGGGGACCAGATTTTCAAAACATGAGCTCATAGGAGATGCTTCATAGTCAGACTAAGACACTTGTCTTAACAGTGTGGTCGGCATCCCTACCAAACAAAGATGATGATGTTAAGAACTTAGACGAGGGCCCCCTCTGACGAGCCTGCTGTGAGCTTTGTGTCACTGGATGGATGATGGCTGAGTTCCTGTGTGTCAGCGGGGTTGTATGGGCTCAAGTCAGGATTTAAGGCCCCTTTACACTCTGCACGCTTGCTTGCCTTTCAAGTGCCATGGTTATTTGACGGTGAGAGAATACAGGCATCTCAGCCTCTTGGTGGTGATCAACCACGTGGTCAGGCAGGGCGTGAAGTGGCTGAGATGCATTAAATCTGTTTGAAATAGTGTCCCCAGAACACCTGAGCCTCCCTGAAGGGTTCCAGCTTTCCCATAGGTTCAAGTGGTGTCAGCTGGGTTTGCTATCAAAACATCTGCTCCCAACTGTCAGGAATGGTGATGGTGGCCGGAGAGATGGTTCAGGGCTTAAGAGCACTGGCTGGTCTTCCAGAGGTCCTGAGTTCAGTTCCCAGCAACCATATGGTGGCTCACAAACCATCTGTAATGAGATCTGGTGCCCTTTTCTAGTCTATAGGCATCCATGCAGGCAGAACACTGTATACATAATAAATCTTTAAAAAAAAAAAAAAAAGTGATGGATCCCAAGGCTGTCTGCACTGTGTCTATCCTGTCATCTCTTGTTCAGTGACTACTGTCTGGGCATCAGTCTGCTCTGCGGTCTGCCTCTGTCAACCCTGCCTGTGGTATAGCAAGTGCTCTTTGTTATTGGTTGTGAGCAGGACTCATCTGCAATTGCCTGGCCATCTGTCTGTCCTACTTTGATGTCTTCGAACAGGAAGTTTGGCAGTGTTTCTTTGTGTGTATGGGGGGTGTTTTTGTTTTTGTTTTTTGTGTTTTTGAGACAGGGTTTCTCTGTGTAGCCCTGGCTGTCCTGGAACTAGCTCTGTAGATGAGGCTGGCCTCGAGCTCACAGAGATCCTCCTGCCTCTGCCTCCTGAGTGCTGGGATCAAAGGCGCGCACCACCATGCCCTGTGTTTCTTTTTGTTCTTAACTGAGGAGTCATTGGGAGGGCTGGTCAGAACCCCCTCTGTTCTGTCTGGGGAGACCAGTTCAGACCAGAGCTTCTGGCTTTGGGCAGAGCATCTTTCCGTTACCATGCTCTAGCTATGGGCTGCTTCCCTGCTGAGAGACACAGACCACCTATCTACTGCACCTGGTCAGCTCTCTCTGCTCACCTGAGTCCTGTTCAGACCTTGGGACAGTGGGGAGACTGAGGGCAGAGGCCGAACACCCTGTTGTGTTTACAGTGGAAACCTTTGGTGACCTGGCCTTCAGTGACATCTTTCTCCACCTGCTCACTGGGAGTCTGGCACTGCTGGCTGATGAATTTGCTCTGGAGGATTTCTGCAGCAGCCTCTTCGATGGCTTCTTCCTCACTGCCTCTCCCAGGTAGACATACAACCCACTGGACCTTCATTTCTTATCAGTTCTTGTGCTTGACATCGTGGGCGGGGAGATGCGGTCCCATCCTGCTGAAGGACCACAGATGGGTCTTGGAGCACTGGGACCTGTGCTAGATCTAGTGAGTAACTCCTAGGTGTAGCTTGGGATGTCCCAGGGGTCAGTTCCTCTAGCTGGTGTGGGAGGAGCTGAAGGCACATGCCAAGACCAGGTGGGCTGTGCTTAGGAGGGAAGTAGCTGTTACGGCCCCTCCAGTCCCACTGATCTCTTCCAGGAAGGAGAATGTGCATCGTCATGTGCTGAGGCTCCTCCTCCACTTACACCCAAGAGTGGCCCCTTCCAAGCTGGAGGCTCTGCAGAAGGCTCTGGAGCCCACAGGCCAGGTAGGTATCCTCGATTCCCATTTTTATAGAGCATTGCTCTATGAATGTGCCTGGGTGGTCTAGCTGTGGCATGGGTGTCCTTGGTGGGGTTTTTGTTGTTGTTTTTTACCTTAGTGTTCTTCTTCTTCTTTTTTTTTTTTTTTGGTTTTTCGAGACAGGGTTTCTCTGTGTAGCTTTGCACCTTTCCTGGATCTTGCTCTGTAGCCCAGGCTGGCCTTGAACTCACAAAGATCCGCCTGGCTCTGCCTCCCGAGTGCTGGGATTAAAGATGTGCACTACCACTGCCCGTCACCTTGGTGTTCTTAATGGTTGATCTTGCCTATAGGTTCACTCCTCCAAGTAGGCTCAGACCACCTGCCCTATTGATGCCTGTCTTTTTTTTTTTTTTTTTAAATGTACATTGGTGTCGAGTCCCCTGGAATTACAGACAGTTGTGAGCTGCCGTGTGGGTGTTGGGAATTGAACCTGGGTCCTCTGGAAGACCAGTCAGTGCTCTTAACCTCTGAGCCATCTCTTCAGTCCCCTTGCATGCCTGTCTTAGGGTTTCTATTGCTGTGAAGAGACACCATGACCATGGCAACTCTTATAAAGAAAATATATTTAATTGGGGTGGCTTACATTTTCAGAGGCTTAGTCCATTATGGTGCGACATGGTGGCAGCAGGCAGATGTGGTGCTGGAGAAGTAGCCGAGTGTCCTACATCTTGACTTGCAGACAATAGGAAGTGGTCTGTTTTAATGGGCATGGCTTGAGCATATATGAGACCTCAAAGCCCATCCCCACAGCGACACATTTCTTGTCCTGACCACCTTAGATATTACATTTAAAGTTAACCCATATTCCTTATTTACGCTCTGCTATGGGGCAGTACCTTTATTAGGATGGCATGTTCATTCCTGTTCTCTCTGCATCTGCTGACAGCTTCTGACTATGCCCTTCTCCTTCCCAGCAACCTTAGTTTGGTTGCCCTGCCTATACTTCCTGCCTGGCCACTGGCCAATCAGCATTTTATTAAACTAATTCCAGTGACAAATCTTTACAGTGTACAAGAGGATTATCCCACAGGAGACACACTTCCTCCAACAAGGCCACACCCACTCCAACAAAGCCACACCTCCTAATAGTGCCACTCCCTTTGGGGGCCATTTTCTTTCAAGCCACCACAGTGCCCATGTCCGTTTTTCTCACAGAGTGGGGAGGCCGTGAAGGAGCTCTACTCCCAGCTTGGTGAGAAGTTGGAGCAGTTGGACCATCGGAAGCCCAGTCCCACCCAAGCTGCAGAGACGCCAGCGTTGGAGCTGCCCCTTCCCAATGTGCCTGCTCCAGCTCCACTCTGAGGCTCTGGGAGACCGTTTAGCGGTAGTGCCCTATGGCAGGAGGCCCTGGTCAGCTCGGAGCACAGGGTGAGCTGAGGGCTGTCCCTTGGCAAGGTCCTCCCTCCCTCCTCTGAGTTGCTGCCTGGAACTGGTTCTGAGAGGGCCAGAGTGGTGTAACGGAATACCAGGGGAGGCCCATGATGGCATGATGGGGCTTGGCCCCTGCTTGACCCTGGCACAGATGGATGGTGGTTGGTAGTTTAAAAAAAAAAAAAAAAAAAAAGCCAGTTAGTTTTCCAAGGGCAATGGGCAGAGGCCTGACTTGATCTTCAGTCTGGACAAAGCCCAAGGAGAAGGGTGTACTAGGTTTGCCAAAGCAGATTTGCTGGGCCTGATCCCTCAAGCGCAGGAGTGGTCCCCTCCACAGAAGCCAGGTACAAAGTCTGCAGAAGCCTGAGGCCGCTGGTGTCAGGCACAGTCCTAGCTGACTGAGATCTGTAGGCAGAGCCCTCCCTTCCCTGCAGTCCCCTGCCTCAGTGTGTACCTTGGTAACAGAAGCCAAATCCTTGCCCAGCTACGTGTTTTGGCCCTTGAGTCGGGGACTATGGGTATACACGCCGAAGTTTCCACTTATGTAAATAAAACACATTTTGATAAATCCACGGTGAAAGGACTCTGTGCGTCCTGGGGCTGAGAACAGGGGTGGATGCAACCTTCTTTCTTTCCTTTTTTGTTTTTGTTTCTCTGTGTGACCGCTCTGACTGTTCTGGAACCTGCTTTGTAGACTAGGCTGGCCTTCAGCTCACAGAGATCCGCCTGCCTGGCACTAAAGGTGTCTGCCGCCACACCTGGAAGGTGCAGCCTTCTTCTGGAGAGTCAATGCTTTGGCCTCTGTGCCTGGCAACCCTGCTCTGAGTGACCTGGTTTAGGGCCCAGCTGCTGGAAGATCTCAGGGCCTCTCAGAAGGCCTTGATCTCTGCCCCAATATCTAGGTGTGCAGTCTTTCACTCCTTTCAAAACGAGAGTAGGAATCCCTAGGAGGACCAAGCAGAGTCCTAGAGTGATTCTGAACATCAGACTTTACAGCCATATGGCAGCTTAGTTATCCCCTAGGAGGCTAGGGAAAGTCCAGCCAGGCATTGGGCATTACTGTCCCCTTCAGGACATGAAACACCAGACGATGGCTGAGCAGGACAGCTCTCGGAGGCATAATAAAAGCCCCCTGGCTGTGATGGGGTCAGGCAGGTGCTGGTGGTTGCAGGGCCCTCAGTCTATGCCTAGCTTTTCCCAGCTGTGAATGAATGAATGGTATGTTCCCTGCCTGAGTCTGGCTGTTTGTCACCAGGTGGGGGGAGGGGCAGGCAGTATATCTCTGAGCTGAGGAAGGGGGATGGGGTTGTATCAGTTCAGGTTTCTGTTGTAACACTATAGGCAAGATGAGTCATAAAGAAAGTGTATTTATTTTGGCTCCAGGACCTGGTCCAAAGTCCAGGGTGCATTTGATGATAGCATCTTTCTGGGAGAAAGGCCCTGAGGCAAAGGGTACCTCACAGTGATTTTGTGTGTGTGTGTGTGTGTGTGTGTGTGTGTGTGTGTGTGTGTGTGTGTTCTCTTTTCAAAGCCATGGGACTGAGGGTGCCAGACCCATAACCTCATTTGGTCCTAACCACCCATCTTGGAGGTACACCACAGCTGATTGAATTTTCAGCCTTCCACCCCCTCTGATTGGGGGACTGGGGGCGGCTTCGGGGGTGGCTTCACATGACACCACAGCCACATCACTGTGGGACCACAGGAACACTGCTAGGTTTCCAGCTGAGCAGCGCTCACAAGGCATAGATGCAGGCCTTCAGTTGGGGAAAGTGCTGCTGAATCCCTTCATTTATTATTTGGATTTTCTGCTTGTTTTGTTTTGGAGACGGGATTTCTCCATGTAGCCCTGGCTGTCCTGGAACTCGCTCTGTAGACCAGGCTGGCCTCAAACTCACAGATCCACCTGCTTCTGCCTCCCGAGTGCTGGAATTAAAAGTGTGCTCCACTGCTTGGCTTATTTGGTTTGTTGAGTCAGGGTCTCCATGTAGCCCTGGCTGTCCTGGAACTTGCTGTAAGGAGTCGGTTCTTAATTACATCATCAGCCTTCGACTGCGTCTCAGCCTAAAAAGCAGGTGGGCCCTCTGTGCGCCCCTCTCTTTCCTTTCCGCTCCTTCCTTCCGTCTGCCCCCCTCTCTTTCTCTCTCTCCCCGCTTTCCCAATAAAGCTCTAAAAAGGTAACCATGGCTGTGATTCTTCCAATCAGCACTCTCCTCCTCCATGAGGAGCAGCAGCGTCACAGTGTAACCAACGACTCGCCCTAACTCACCTTTACCCCACCCACTCATTCTCAAACTGCCTTGAGAAGCACAGATGGGTCTGGAAGAGGCTAAGATCCATGCAAATAAGTTTACAGTAGTCAGGATGGCTCTTAAGCCAAAAATCAGCTTATAGCCTCAGACAAATCTTCCAAAAAGATCGGTTTATAGTCTGCCTCCTGGCAGATCTTTCAAAAGCTGTCCTTAAGCCCTCAATCATCAGGAAAAAAATTCAGGACACGGAGTAAAATCCGTCTCTTGTTCCCCAGACTAAAACTTAAGCATTTGGAGAGCAAGGCTCCTGACCCCACAGGCAAAAGAGTCATCTGTGGCATTTAAGGTGTGCCAGGGAAGAGATAAAAGCCAGAAAACAAAATTGCCAAGTGCTGGCACTCGCTGACTCCCAAAAGCTGTTGGGTACCAGTTTTAAGTGAGGAAAAGGCCACGGGCTAGTGAATGCCCTGCCAGGCCATCAACAGCCTTGTTAAAAGTGCCGCCTAGAAAGACAAAGAGTCAGCTGACTGCCCCCAGGCACCAAGATGCATGGGTACATCAAGCTAAGACCTCCAACAGACCTAGGCTTGGCTACAGACATGGCAGGGAACCCAGAACGCAGCAGGGAAGCGATCTGTTTCTTTACTTCTGGACACCAGAGCCACTGACTCAGTCCTGGGAGTTTTGGGATGCCACCTCTTCTTTATTGTCGGGTACAGAGGACAGCCTTACCACCAGATTTAATCGCACTTTCAGAGTTACTTAATGAAAAAAGATTTCCACCTAAAATAAGAGCTCATTGCTTCACTCCAGATCCACTGCCTGTGTTTCTCACGTGCATACAGACAGGGCCCTGATCTTTGCCTTGTTCCTAATTCCAAAAAAATAAATTCTCATGCACCACAAGCTTTTCTCTTCCCAGTTCCCTGTTCTAACTCACTGTTCAGCTAATGGTACAGGACCACCACAGAACTGGAGTCCAGAGATCATCAAATAAGAAGCTATAACAGCTAAAAGGTATTTATACACACACCCCAGACCCAAAAGCATCTGGGTGCTACAAAAAGACTTTAATGTAAACATCTATTACTATGAGATGCTTTTAACAATTGATCACCTGTCTCCTGGATGTTGAACTAGTAAAGGACACAGGTGCTTTAAAATAATCTGTCTCTGATAAAGCTTAACATGTTTCAAAATCCATAGGGACAAGCCGGATCTACCTCAGATAAATGTCAACATAAAATAATAATGATTCTTTTATCTCTAAGTTTTTTTCTGTGTCACCAGCATCTTGTCAAACAGAAAGTTCCCAGCCACAGCCAAGAGGGATACATGTCTCCAGAGCAAACGGATGACAGACAGCATCCCACAACGCCTGTCTACCTCGGAAGACTCCCCTTCTCCATCCCCCCAGAGCCAACCAATGTCCAAGAGTCAGCTGGAAGCAGTTTTTGAGAGGAACGACGCCCCTAGTTCCATCTACCTGCTTTTTTTTTATAGTAAGGGAAAGTCTGGGATGTAAGGATTCTGTCCTTAATTACGTCATCAGCTTAAAAAGCGGGTGGGCCCTCTGTGCGCCCCTCTCCTTTCCGCTCCTTCCTTCCGTCTACCCCCCCCTCCCTCTCTCTCTCCCCCTCTCCCCCAATAAAGCTCTAAAAAGGTAACCATGGCTGTGATTCTTCCAATCAGCACTCTCCTCCGCCAGCATGGCCCCGCCAGCCACCAGGAGCAGCGCCACAGCGTAACCAACACTCGCAATGTAGACCAGGCTGGCCTCATACTCGGACCCATTCACTTCTGCTTCCCAAGTGCTGAGATAAAGGTGTACTCCACTGGGCATGGCCTGCTTGATTATTTTAAAAATGGAGGAAATGCCGGGCGTTGGTGGCGCACGCCTTTAATCCCAGCACTCGGGAGGCAGAGACAGGCGGATCTCTGTGAGTTCGAGGCCAGCCTGGGCTACCAAGTGAGCTCCAGGAAAGGCGCAAAGCTACACAGAGAAACCCTGTCTCGAAAAACCAAAAAAAAAAAAAAAAAAAAAATGGGGGAAACATGGCTTGTGGTGATGGCAATGATCCAATAGTAAAATACTTACGATACTGGGGGTTTGTGGGGTGTCAGATCCATAGCACAGACATTTCAGAAGGGGCAAGCTGTGAGGTCCAGACACTAGGGCTCTTGGGGCTGTTTCCATGTGCTCAGAATGGTGAGTGGGGCTACCTGGAGTAAGCAGGAAAGAGCGGGGCCGTGGACAGAGAAGCTATGTGTGGACTGTTTGCTTGGTGAGGTCATTGGGCAGAGTGAAGAGCTGCTAGAGGCTGAGGTTCAGGACAGACACAATGGTCAGTGTGGCTAGACTCCACTAGTGTGGGTCAAATGTGCCTTCAAGGAGCTGTGGGGGGCTGGGCCGTGGTCGTTCACACCTGTAATAACAGTACTCAGGCCGTGGTCATTCACACCTGTAATAACAGTACTCAGGCTGGTCGTTCACACCTGTAATAACAGTACTCAGGCCGTGGTCGTTCACACCTGTAATAACAGTACTCAGGCCAGTGGTTGTTCACACCTGTAATAACAGTACTCAGGATGTGGTCGTTCACACCTGTAATAACAAACAGTACTCGGGAGGCAGAGGCAGGCAGATCTCAGGTTAGCCAGGGCTACACAGAGAAACTCTGTCTCAAAAAACAAACAAACAAAAAACCAAAACCAAAAAAAAGGTGTGGAGGGCAAGGGCCTGGTGGGTGAAGGGGATCTGGGTTGGGGCTAGTGAGGTTGGACTTTACACTTGGTTTGGACAAGGGAGTGGGCAGTCGGACTTGAGGGTCTTCTGTCTAGGAAGGCCTTATTCCTGCAAGATTAACTATGGGACATGAGTTCCTTGAATGTGACACTTCTCTTTAGCAGATCTTTTCCTTACCCCAGAATGGGCACTGGACCCCAGAGTTTGACAGATGAACCTCCTGCAAAAGTGACTGGCCAACATTAGGCCCATTACGCCCTGTCTCTTTCCTTCAGAGCCTGGTCAGCTGCCTCAGGGCCCACTGACCTTCCGGTCAGAAAAGTCTTACAGACCAGAGAATGGAGGTTCCTAAGAGCCCCTCCCCCTCCCCCTCGGGGGGGGGGCCTGGTCAACCAGCCGCCTGCAAGGATATTTCACACGGTCCGAGATGTGCAGATGGGTGGTGGACCATGGGAGAGCCTGAATTGTCTAGAGGGGTCTGGAAACACACTTGTCCACCCTGGCCACTCTTTGAACTTTGTGAGAGTTCTGGAAAGTTCAGGAATCCCAGGCTGGCCAAGGAAGCAACCA